CGACCATTGCCGCCCAGCAATGCGTCATAGATCTGCCCTATGTGTAATTACACCGATCCCTTATATCTGCTGGCGGAACTTAGTTCGACAATCGGCCGACGACGTTAATGAATCTGTTAGAGTCTGCCATCCTGGTCTTCATCGAACTCCCCTACTAAGGACCATTATGACGACTTTTACATCCGCCTCCGAGCGTGCTTGTATTCTTTGGTGGTGGACGCAAGCAGAACCTTGTACTTGTCGCAGCTGTGATCATGCCTGATAAGGCTGGTCTCAATGATGTTACGGACGGTACCCCTACACGCTTGAAAATTGGCGGCAGCGGACTTGGAAAGCTCCGCCCAGTCTGCTCACCAGCGACGGAGACCGAAGGTAGAAGGTTCCATGTCTTGACGGACGGTGTCGAGCCAAGCCTTCAGTTGCCCTCGTCTTCGACGCCTCCAGGTGGGCTGCGATGCCGGATCGAGGGCAGCATAGGTAAGCTCGTGGGACGGAGGACGGAAAGCGTGCCCAAACCACCTCAGTCGCCTTCTTGAATGGCCTGAGGTATCCTCGCAATGCGATCGCAGCCAGTGCGAACTGTCTCATTTGAGACGAAGTCGCTATACTTAACTCGCAGGATGGTCCTCAGGCAGGGGAGGTCAAAGACCTCCAGTCTTCGCTCATCTTCGTCGCACAAAGCCCGGCATTCACATCCATAGAGGAGGACTGACGGGGTGGAAGCACGGTGTACACGAATCTTCGTGGCAATGGAGATGTCACGTCGGATTCCATAGGCGCTTTCGAAGGATTGAGAAAACCCAGCGAACAGCATCGATACGAGAGACAATTCGTTCCTTGCTCTGCCCTTTCGGTAGTAGCCTCGGCCCGAGGAATCTAAAGCTGTCTACTTCTTCAATTTGATGGCCACAGGGACTCACGATGAATGAAATCAAACGCCTCAGCCAGGTCGAAAAAATAGATGGCCGTTGGTTACTGGTAGCTTTGGCGGAATTCCAGGATGCGCCTCAGCCTAAATACCTGGTCCACACATCCACTGCCTTTCGGTTGTGTTTGCATCTTCTCAGGCTGAAAGTTAGGTCGTAGTAAGCAAAGTGTTTATATTCCTCTGTCAGTAGGCAGCCATAGGAACGTGTCGGACGCCGATGTAAACAGACACCTCACTGCAAAACTCACGGCTAAACGCTGTCTGTATTTGTAGTCCACCAGTGAAAATGTTTTTTTACAATTGTTTCATTATGACGATTAAGATATGCAGGTTATTTTTTAAAAATGTAAAACTCTTTCGAGTTCATGGCAACACTTTCAACACTTGCCTTTGCCGGCAAAGATACGGGACACTGGAATGACCATTTCTGGCTTATTAGCCTTCGTCAGCCGGTCATACCCAGGCCCAAGTGGCGTCCCATCTAATCCTCGAACTCGCAACCTCTTTGATCAGAGTCAAACGCCCCAACCATTGAGCAACGAGCCCGTTGTCTTGCCGGGCTAGATCGAGTGATTTTGACACTCATTGATGAGCGTCCACTCGACCGCTAACGGAACTCATCTGTCCGGCTCTGCCTATACTGCCAGCTGCTGTGGTTGTCAGGGCCTCTGTCGAGACCCCAGGCAGAGCGGACAGATGAGTTCCGTTAACGGTCGGGTGAACGCTCATCAATAAGTACCGGCCTATGCGTTATGCGCCCCACATCCTCATTCCATAAGTGCCTGGACTGCTCCTGTTTCAACAGTTGACACTTTGGGCTATTTTATAGTTGCGGCTATTCCCACTGAAACTTTCAACGGATAAATTAGCCAGCCAGCGTTCGCTTTTGATAAATTCTCTTCAGGCCTGTACGTTTAGTACACATAATGCATGTAATTAATTACGAAGAGAATTTATCGAAGCAAACGTACGCTCGCCAATTTATCTTTTGAAGTTTGACACTTGTGCACATTTAACAACTGAAGGAATTTATCGTGTGTACGTTATTTTCATCTATCCCGTGGTGGAGCGGAGCATACCCATTTTGTCCAA